CTGGTTCAAATTCTCGCCGACCTCAAGATCGGTGAAGTCGTGATCGTGCTGCTCTTTCTCGGGGCGCTTGTGGGCGTCGGTCTGTACCTCCAGACGCCGACACCGATCCTCAACTATGCCAACTTTGCGTTCATCTCGGGCCACCTCTCGCTCATCAGTCTCATGTTTGCACTGCTCCCGATCGCGCGCGGACCGCACTGGCACTTTCTCTTTGGCATCTCGCACGACCGTATTCTCAAGTTTCACCGGGGCGGCTCGCGCGTCGCGTTTGTCTTTGGCGTGCTGCACTTGATTCTGAATCTGAAGTTCACGAGTCCCGCCAGCACCCAAGTGTACGGCCAGACCCAAGTCATTCCGCTCGCGGGCTTGGTCGCGCTCGGGTGCTTTCTCACGCTCGTGATTGGCGGCTACGAACCGATCCGCCGCCGCTTCTACGCTCTCTTCCAGCTCCACCACCGCGTCTTCTCGCTCATCGGGCTCGTGGCACTTCTCTTGCACAGCACGGTCGTGCGGTACATGATGCTTTTGCCGCTCGTCGTGTACGATCTCTCGGGCGTCCTCCGGCTGCGCGCGTTTTGCCAGACATTTGACGCCCGGGTCGATGTGACGGCGGAAAACGTCGTGACGCTTGTGCTTCCTCCCACCGACCAGACCAAGCGCTGGGCGTCGACCATGAACCCGTCGTCGTTCTTCTACGTCCGCGTGCCCAGCGTCTCGGGCCTGGAGTGGCATCCGTTCTCGGCCATCGTGACGCCGGATGGCAACTCGATCGGCTTTTGCCTCAAGGTCATGACCAAACACCGTTTCGTCGACGACGTCTTCCAGTATGCGCGCTCGCAGCAAGCGATGACGCTGCCGACCATGGTCGGGGGGCCGTACGGCAAGCTGTCGCTGGACCTTGGACGATACGACGTGGTCCTTCTGGTGGCCGGCGGCATTGGCGTGACGCCGATGCTGAGCCTCGTCAACCAGTTTCGACACGTCAATCTCAAGGTCGGGAACAAGCTGCGTCTCTTTTGGAGCGTGCGCGAGGCGAGCGAGCTCTTGTGCGCCGATCGCCTCATGTTTCCGTTGCCGGCGTCGCTGTATCACCGCTTCTACGTGACGAAAGCGAGTGACGAAGGGCAGGTCATGAGCGAGTCGTCGGGTCCAGTGATCTACTACCCTGGACGCATGGTGCTCGATGAGATTGTCAACAATATCGCGTACGTTGGCAAATCGGTGTGCGTTCTTGCGTGTGGACCGCCGGGTCTCGTTGCCGACACGCAGCGCCACGCGCGGAAATGTGGCTTTGACTTTCACAAGGAAGAGTTTCTGTTTTAGCGCGATAAATGTTTATATACCTTGAAATTTTTAAACCTCTTAGACCTGAACGTGTTTAATATGGTTGACATTTTTGGAATGACTGTGGTTCTATGGAATTGGACGATGGAAGTGGGGACTCCTACTTCCTTTTGCGATAGTTCAAGACGAGCTAAAGTGAATCAGGGGACGTGGGCCGCTGGAGCTCGTGGAGCTCGTGGACGACGACTTTATTTTGGAAAAAAGACAGATTGCGGAGGCGAACCCTCCTCTCGCAAAGCAGGCTGCGGCGGAGCAGCGCTAGCGCTGGTGTGCACAACTTGGTCGTCGTCAGCTCTGTCATCATCTTCACCTTCGTCTGCACCTTCGTCTTCACCATCGTCTCGATGCGGTGGAGTCCATGCTGGGCGGGAAGGGCAGACTTGGCGCGCGGACGTCTTCTTGCTGTCCTTCCACCGCGTGTAGTTCTAGCTGCGAGGCACCGTTTATTGTATCAAGGACGGCTTCAGCTTCGTGATCAGGCCTGCTGTATAGCATGATATACCTCACATCATGGAATGGTTGGATGCGCTAGCTGCATCTTGACTAGAGATATAATTGCAAGCTCAAGTGACCCTGTCAGAGAGGAAGGTGGGACGACAGTGTAGACAAGCGATCTAAAACTGATCAATAGTGGACATGCTTGTTACTTCGTCCCTCTTGGTGCGTGAAAAACAAGCGGGTCGAATGCTCCTGTGCGAGTTCAGGCACAGCGTCTCTTACGACCCAGTCCGTGGCGGAGATACGAGTCGTTAATTAGTATATAGTGACCTCGTAGCCGGGCAATACTACGGTGCGCATTTAGGTCGACCTACTTTGCAGCCGATTTCGACCACACTTCAAACGCGAGCCTACAGAGGTGGCGTGAGACCATATAATTTGCCGGGACAATGTTTCGTACTGGACGCCGTTGTCTTCGTCTTCAACGCGCGACTCGCACACGGTAAAATGCTTGTCCCACTCGGGAAAGTACGTGTCACCGTCGTACTCAGCGTCAATGCGCGTGATGTAGAGCTTGTCGGCCGAGGCCAGCGCCTCGGTGTAGATGCGTTGGCCGCCGAGAATCCAAACCTCGTTCACACCTTGGTTGCGCGCAATATCGAGCGCCTCTTCGTAGCTGCATGCGAGGCTCGTGTGCGGCGGCGTCTTGCCGGCTTCGACGAGCGTCCGGGAGACGACAATGGCGGGGTACGCGGGGCCGGCCGCGAACTCGTCGAAGCACGTTTTGCCCATGATCGAGACGTGGCCCTTGACCGTGTTGAGAAAGTAGTTCCAGTCCTTGGGCAGCGACCACGGCAGCGACCCATTCCGGCCGATGACGCGGTTGCGGGGCACCGCGGCGATGATGTTGATCTGCATTGTGCAAAGTGAAAATGATGACACGCGAAGTCGGCGGATCGTCCTACAATACCCAACATTTTATTCCACATACAAAACACACGTATATGGCGTATAATTTATTAGCGACAAGAATCCAGCTCGCGTGATTGGTCGAAATCGAAACTGCAAATTGAAGCAACTTGCATACAAACATCAAGTCACAAAAAATCATTGCGACGCCAGCGTCAACAGCGTTGGTCGATCCGCGAAGTCCAATGTGATGAATCCTATGAGGTCGACCAGTGAAGCCTTTTCTACTCTCGTACGTGTCGGTCATTAGCCACACCGGAGAGCTTGTCAACCTCGTCAATGTGTCCGTGACGTAGTTGCTCAATTGGGATCTGCGACGTCGTGCGTGCACTTGGAGCTGCACTTGGTGGTGAAAACCAGCGTCAATGGCCATCAAGCAAGCATTACGTATATTGCTTGTGGCATTCCAAACCGCCTAAAAGTCTACCGACATCGCTGAACAAGGACGTTTTCGTACTTGTCGCCAATGCATGCGCGCCGTTGGATCTACCAGACGCTAAGATTGATTGTTGGCCAAAGATTTCAGTGGTTTTCATCTCAATCGCCCCAATCTGTGAGAGTCATTTTACATACTCTCGCTCTCTCGATGGTACGCACTCGCGTACACACCAAAGCCGCGCGGAGCGCCAAGGACGAGACGACCTCGCAAGTGCACAAATGCTATGGCGAGTTCATGGGAAAATTGGGGCTTCAAGTTGCGTGGTTTCAGCCACGAGGATCGTTTCAGTCAAGGAAACGCTGGGATGGCGGGCGAAACACCCCTCGTGAGCGCTCGCGCGTACGAAGCCACTCGAGACGCGGTGCTAAAACTCAAGCAGCAGTGTCGCGTCGAGGAAACGCCAAGTGCAGCGCTTGCAACCCCGTTTGCGACGACCGAGCGGCGCATGGCGCAGGCGATGGCGGCGGCCCTGGACGAGCACGTCGTCATTGTGCGCACGTCAGGACTTCGACCTGGTCGAGAAAACACGCTCGTTGACCACATTGACGTCTTGCGAAAGCACTTCACGAATGCGCTCACGTCGCTCCGCGCCAACTACACGGACGCCGAAATGGATTGGGCGACGCGCGTCGCCGCCATCGAGTCGGAGCTCGCGCACGAGGTCGATGCGTCATCGAGTCTACGGGCGAGCCATGTGACGGAGCTCGACCAGCTAACCCAGCGCCTCGAAATTACCCATTTTGAAGAGCTTGAGAACCTCACAAAACTCTACGACGATAAAGTTGTCGAGATCCAAGCGGCCGCCGACGCGCAGCTCGCAGTGGTCGAAGCCGCATGCAATGAAAAGGTTGGACTTGTGCGCGCCAAGGCCAAGTCGTGGAAAGTCGCGTACGAAGCCAAGCTCAAAGACGCCGTGACGAGCAAGATCGACGCGCTCAAGACGCAAGCGGAGCTCCAATTACAGGCGGTCTTGATGCAGCTCGACAAGGAGGCGCAGGTTCTAACAAGTGCGCTTCAAGACGCGCGGTGCCAGGCCAAGTCGCTCGAGCGGCAACTCGCGCAAGCCAACACGCGCATTCAGGAACTCGAGGCCGCCATGCCACGCAGCGAGGTCGCCATCTGTAAGCTTAAGGCCCAGGTCGCTGGCGAGGCCGAGGCCGTGGAGGAGCAAAAGGCCAAGTACGACGCACTATTGGCCACGCACCGGGCGCTCCAGACGCAAATGGTCGAAGAGAAAACGCGGCTCGTACAGCACCATGCGCTCCAGCAAGGACTTCTCGAGGAGCAGTTGGCCCGCGCCAAGCAAGACGAAATGGAGCGACTTCACGAGCGAGTGCGCCACGCGATGGAAATGAAGGCAGTCGTGATTAGCCAGCTCGAAGCAGCGGTACTAGAGGCAGAGAATCGCGCCGCGCTCGCCGAGCACGCACTCAATCAAATCCACACAGAAATGATGACCAGCTCGCGCTGCGACGTCCTCGAAGCCTTCCCCATCGATGCATGAGCGACAATTAGACTGTATGATATACATGTACTAGTATTGTACAAGTAAACAGGGGTGTAGTTGCGATATATACTCTGAACGCGAAACGATGCCGATACGACTACGCTGTCACTGTTAGAGCATTTCAACACCCTTCCGCTGCTGCAACTCATGCATCAGGCGACGGTGGAAACGTCATACTCGCGGCAGGTCGACTCCTTACTTGCAAACTCATAGCTAGCTGTGTTATGCGCGAATATTGTGAATTAAAACAGAAACTCTTCCTTGTGAAAGTCAAAGCCACATTTCCGCGCGTGGCGCTGCGTGTCGGCAACGAGACCCGGCGGTCCACACGCAAGAACGCACACCGATTTGCCAGCGTATGCGATATTGTTGACAATCTCGTCGAGCACCATGCGTCCAGGGTAGTAGATCACTGGACCCGACGACTCGCTCATGACCTGCCCTTCGTCACTCGCTTTCGTCACGTAGAAGCGGTGATACAGCGACGCCGGCAACGGAAACATGAGACGATCGGCGCACAAGAGCTCGCTCGCCTCGCGCACGCTCCAAAAGAGACGCAGCTTGTTCCCGACCTTGAGATTGACGTGTCGAAACTGGTTGACGAGGCTCAGCATCGGCGTCACGCCAATGCCGCCGGCCACCAGAAGGACCACGTCGTATCGTTCAAGGTCCAGCGACAGCTTGCCGTACGGCCCCCCGACCGTGGTCGGCAGCGTCAGTGCTTGCTGCGAGCGCGCATACTGGAAGACGTCGTCGACGAAACGGTGTTTGGTCATGACCTTGAGGCAAAAGCCGATCGAGTTGCCATCCGGCGTCACGATGGCCGAGAACGGATGCCACTCCAGGCCCGAGACGCTGGGCACGCGGACGTAGAAGAACGACGACGGGTTCATGGTCGACGCCCAGCGCTTGGTCTGGTCGGTGGGAGGAAGCACAAGCGTCACGACGTTTTCCGCCGTCGCATCGACGCGGGCGTCAAATGTCTGGCAAAACGCGCGCAGCCGGAGGACGCCCGAGAGATCGTACACGACGAGCGGCAAAAGCATCATGTACCGCACGACCGTGCTGTGCAAGAGAAGTGCCACGAGCCCGATGAGCGAGAAGACGCGGTGGTGGAGCTGGAAGAGAGCGTAGAAGCGGCGGCGGATCGGTTCGTAGCCGCCAATCACGAGCGTGAGAAAGCACCCGAGCGCGACCAAGCCCGCGAGCGGAATGACTTGGGTCTGGCCGTACACTTGGGTGCTGGCGGGACTCGTGAACTTCAGATTCAGAATCAAGTGCAGCACGCCAAAGACAAACGCGATGCGCGAGCCGCCCCGGTGAAACTTGAGAATGCGGTCGTGCGAGATGCCAAAGAGAAAGTGCCAGTGCGGTCCGCGCGCGATCGGGAGCAGTGCAAACATGAGACTGATGAGCGAGAGGTGGCCCGAGATGAACGCAAAGTTGGCATAGTTGAGGATCGGTGTCGGCGTCTGGAGGTACAGACCGACGCCCACAAGCGCCCCGAGAAAGAGCAGCACGATCACGACTTCACCGATCTTGAGGTCGGCGAGAATTTGAACCAG